GATCAGAGCCGAGTGCAAGGCCAGAAAGCTTAAGCAATGTCACAGTTTAAAGCAGAAATAAAGGAAGTAAAAGAAGTTACTGACCCCATAATGGGTGCTATTCATTACAGCCAAGAATAGAGAAGAAAAACAAATCCATTTCTCCATTACAAGGGACTACAAACCCATAAACCCTTAGGCACATAGAAAATCCTTTACCTCTACGGTCCCAGCTTCTTCTTTGCTGGTTTGGTTGTCAGGACCCACACAAAGGTGGGAGAAAGCTCTTGATTCCACTGTTTAAGCCTCTTGATAGTATTCATTAATTCTGTTCATTTACATTGATTCTATTCCAGAGTCAGCAAAGGAACTACTGAAACATAATAGTGATCTCTCATTTTTTCTTAAGATGTACTTATTTAGGCATGTAAGAACTGGAATACAGGCCAGAGGTGGGGAGGAGGGGCGGGGAGAGGATTCACCAGTGACAGAGAGGGGAGCAGAACAGTCAGATCTACTAAAATAAACTGCTGAGGGGAGCAGCAGGTGGGTCAGGAGAGGTCTGCCACTCCATGTGGGTCCCCTCCCTGGTAGAGTATTGAACTCGTGCTGCAGTGGCTGTGGATAGCTTCATAGTGCTGCGCTTTAACCCACTGCGCCACCAGGGAGGGCCCGTGGCCTTTCATTGCTAAAGTATTTGTTGGTCAATAAAATTCTTTTCCTTCTGTTTAACCAACGGGAAAGCAACTGAGGTTTATGCCTTTAAAAGTCTAAGAAGTCAACAGCATTGTGCAGCAAGAGACTACCTATGGGGGCGGGGGGAGCTTATACCTGAAATAAAAAACAAAACAAAAAAGAAATTATCAGTTGACACAAACAAAACAACCCCACAATAAACCTGCAATGGCCTTTCTTTTTTTTTTTTAAAGTAAGGTTTTGTTTTTTTTTTTTTATGCTCACAGAACTGGGTTATAGGCCCGAGGCGCAGGGGTGGTGAGAGGATTCACCAGAAACTGAAGTGGATCACTTCCAGGGGGCAGGGATCGAACGCACCAAGGCAGCTGCAGCTAGCTTGCAGTGCTGCGCTCTACCCCATTGTGCCACCCAGGAGGGCCCTTCTTCTGTGTGGAAGTGATGAAGCAGAGTGGAAGGGATGCCCAAAAACCAGAAAAGCGGGTCTGGAGTGCAGACTTTTTACATTTTATTTTGTTGTATTTTTAAAATTACCAAGTACTTGGAACTGAGGTCAAATGGTTAAGCTGGCTTCAGACCCTAAAATATAAAGAGGTTAAAAAAAAACTTATCTTTTTGGCCAACAAGCATATGAAGAAATGTTCAACATCACTTGTAATAAGGGAGATGCAAATTAAAACCACAATGAGATACCACCTCACCCCAGTCAGAATGGCACATCTTCAAACAACTAGCAACAACAAATTTCGGCGAGGATGTGGAGAAAAAGGAACTCTCCTGCACTGCTGGTGGGAATACAAACTAGTACAACCACTATGGAAAACTGCTTGGAGGTTCCTCAAACTGCTAAAAATGTAGCTTCCATATGATCCAGAAATCCCACTTATAGCTATCTACCCAAAAGACACAAAAACACTGATTCAAAAAGATACTTGCACCCCATGTTTATTGCTGCTTTATTTACAATTGGAAAAACATGGAAGCAGCCCAAATGCCCAAAAGTAGATGACTAGATTAAA